CAATTTACTTATTTCTGGAGAAGCATTTTGGATTTGATGCAGTAAATACGACACAGAATCTGATTTAAGAACGTCGGTTTACAGGTTGCTATAGTCGGTATCCAGTACCCTCTTAAGAGCACCGTGTTGTTTATTGCTATTGACATCTGCCATGTGTGTATTATCCCCCGAACTCGACGTAGTAGGAGAGGGAGCATCGCGTCTTGACATCCCATCGACGATTGGAAAGCCGACCTCCCGCCGCGAAAACCTGTGGTAGAAGGGGAAGAGCGATAAGCCAAGTCAACCGTCAACGGCAAAATCCAGAAAATATCGCCAAAACTCCAAAAAGAGAAAAGCACAAAAAGATCTCCAAAATGGACCACAATCGCAACCAAAATCGGTCAGTGTAAAAGCACAAGATTTTGTCACTACGGTTGAAACAAATCAGGGCCCCAGAGGAGCAACAGGCGGCAGAAAAATGATCGAGAAGACAAAGCTCAAAAGTATACGACTGAATATATACTCACTTCGATCCAGAGAGAAAGAAAGAGAGAGAAAGAGAGAATCAAGAGGCACGGCAGTGATTCGCGTTATTCACGCCGACAACACCTCCGATAGTACCGATCGCTTCGACAATGTTCCTCGCGGCGTAGTGATTTCGCGCCGGCAACACCTCCAATACAACTTTATTTAANTTAACTCTTTTGAAACTTGACACAAAATAACTACAGACTATAAATTTTTTTCAATTTATCATAAATTTTTGATAAAAAAGTAATTCAAAAAACAAATTTAAAAAATTTTTTTACGCCATCAACACTTCCAATATAACGTTTTTTACTAAACTTATAACTTTGAATAAACTTATATAACTTATATAAACTTTTAATAAACTTATATAACGTTTTTTAATAAACTTGTGAAACTTGACACGAAATAACAACAAACACTTTTAATTTATAATCAATTTATAATAAAAAATTTTTGCGCCGGCAACACCTCCGATATAACGTTTTTTAAATAAACTATAGTGAAACTTGACACGAAATAACTACAAACTGTATACTTTAAATTTATAAAGTAGAAAATTAATTCCAAAAACGGAATAAACAAATTGGGCATAAAAATCAAACTCCGGCAATACTACCGAACGCGGTGGACGCGTGGCAATCCATTGCGGCGTAGTGNTGTCGCACCGGCAACACCTCCGATATACCTGTTTTGAAACTTGGCACAAAATAACTACGAACTATATACTTNGACTTTATAATAAATTAAAAAATTATAATAAATTAAATACTTAAATAATAAATTAAAATTTAATGAGAGACACAGAGACTTTACACGATACATACATCCCTATACTTGAAAAAGTCCTATTTTAACACACAGAGGGAGTTGTGTTCCTTATTACAGTTCGATCGATTGCTCTTTGACTCAGTATCGATTTTACGTTCTAGCAAGTACGACTTGTATTTGATTATTAATGATTATTATCTTTTTAACTGATTATTATCTTTTTTTATTGTTTGATATGTGACTACCACTTTTGTAAACATTAGTATTTAAGGTTAGTAATCCATTCATGTATAAAAAAATCTATTTATGTTAAGACTATATAATACCTATTCTAATTTTTACTTTTCACCGTGTATTACTAGATGCAATTGATAAGGGCTTAAAATATAGCCGAAACGTTTTGTTAAAACCTACTTTGTAGTACATTTATTTATTGCACAACATCCTGCACTGGCTCAATATTGCCGTTATTCCAATTCAACTGTAAATTTGAAAAGAACCTGAGGTGACATCCTCCTATCTTCACTATAAATAAATTAAAACTTGATTTAATGCTACAAAAAATTATTTTTCTCTGTATTGTAAACTACAAACAATTATTTCTTTACAAAATCTGTTTTACAAAAGAAGTGATATCAAAAAGTAACACCAAGCAAACTTTTGTTTGTTTTATAATTATAATATACTACAAAAAATATCTAGTATCTCTTTTATAAAAGAAGTGATATATAACTACTACAAATTTATCTACAAAATCTATTCTACAAAAAAAACGTGATATATATTATAATAATAATAAAGTTAATCAATAAAGCCCTTGAACTCAATTTATGAATAATAAAGTTGTTTTACATTAAATATTTTTTATTAAAAAACCTTTTTTTTGTTACACTTGTGTGTTCTAGTAAATGGTTTTGTAAATATTTACGAAAAATACAGTTTTGATAGGTTACTCGTTAGTTTCACTAACAAATCGTTTTGTTATCTATAACATTGAGTACTTCGGATATACGTAGATTGTCTGAAAAGTTTTGAGCTTAACATAAAAACAAGTATTTTTTCGGTCAAAGTCAGTTTTATCTTTAACGATCCTCGTAAAACGTGATCTATAAAGTCTACATAAATTTTTGAGTTTTTACACAAATATCTTAAAATTATATTCGGGGGATATACGGGGTCTTTCATACATGAGATGCAAGTATAGCATCCTGTATGATTTTAACAATTGAAAATTTCAATTCAAAAACTCACGTGTAAAAATTTACATGTGAACATGTAAATATACATACATGTATACTTAATATACAAGTATACTTTTACTTTCATATATACATGTATACATATGTATATGTGTATACATACGTAGATTGTCTGTCATATATACATATGTATATATGTATATAGAAAAGTTTATTTCGGTATAACATCCTGCTAAAACGGCTCTTATGACCTTATTCATATTTTCTTACTTTAAACTTCAGAGCCTTAATTGTTGAATCACGCTGGTCTCAGTATGCGTTATTTATTTATCAAGACCATCTTTGATATATGTACGAATATTGCGAGAAAGACTCTAAGTGCTTCGGTGGCCTAAGCGATGGCCCGGAAAGCCGAAAATTCTAGGTTCCTGGCTGAGGAGTTTTTTTCGCAATGATTTAAAATTAGTTTGGGGGGTATACGAGGTCTTTCATACATGAGATGCAAGTATAGCATCTTATAAATATGATTTTAAGAATTAAAAATTTCAATTCAAAAATTCACGTGTAAAAATTTACATGTGAACACATATATAAATACATGCGCACATATATAAATATGTACGCATGTATATATAAAAATATACATATGTATGTATATATGCATGTATGCATGTATACATATATACAAGTATATTTCGGCATAACATCCTTCAAAAACAGCTTTTATGATTTTATTCATATTTTCTTAGTTCAAAATTATATTATATATATAAAAATTTTTTAATTGGCGTTACTACTGTGTTATTATTATAATATATATTATGTCTTTTGTAGAATATATATAAATTTTGTAGATAAATTTGTAGTAGTTAGGGGAAAAGTGGCATGAAAGAGCCAGGTTTTGAAAGAGCCATTTTCAATTATTCGGCAATTTCTGAACAAATTTCACAGAAGTTTTAATTTTTATATAGCAACACTAGACGTGTGTCATTCACAAACATTTGACAGATTATTGAAAATAAATAGCGCCGGTGCATTGTATTAAAGATTTTGTCATTGAAAAGTAAATTTTTGGGTTTTATTTCTTTGTTTTTTAACATTTTTGTGTAAAGAAATAATATAAAAATTATTATATCACAATTTTATATATGTATTTAGTCTCCTAAGTATGTAAATATTTCTCATTCATAGCGTTACTTTGATAGTGTATTTTCAGATTATAATTTTTAAGAGGAAAAGTTTTGAAAGAGCCGGTTACCAAATCAAAAAATCATCTTAATAAAGCATTTAGCTCTGACAGTAAATGTAACGATGATTTGTCTTCAGATTCTGACAAAATATTATCAAAAAAAAAAAAATCTAGAAAAAGAAAATAATAATAATTGTATAATGTGCGCTATACATTATAAAATGTGTAAGCAAATATGGTTTTAGTGTAAACTTTATTCTGATTGGACATATAGAAAATGTGAGATAAAAAAAATGCTAAATTATTTTTGTCAAAATTGCTACTAAGATACTTAAAAAATTAAGTTTTTTTTTTACTTCTAAGTTTAAAAGGTGTTTTGAAAGTTTGAGTGCTATAGTAAAAGTTACTTAGATTTAAGTAAAAAATATAAATTTACGTTGATGGTTTTGTTAATTTTGAAGAGATTGTTATGTAACTAGTTTTAGCATTTTGGTTAACAATTGTTTGTTAACAATTACATTAATGTTTTGTTAACAACTGTATTAATGTCTATTAATAGTTTGTTTATTATTTTGTTTATAACCAGTTAAAGATTCTTGTTATAAGAAGTCGACTTTTTCATAACATTCGATGGCTCTTTCAATACCATTACGTTATGAAAGAGCCAAACTTTACTTTTCTTTTAAGTGAAAATATGTTCATTAAGCTTGTTAGATTTTGTCTTTTTGTTTATTAACTAACACAAAAGAATAAGTAAACTACAAATTGAAACAATAAGCGTTATGTTTAATTACTTTTAAAATTTTTTTTTTGGCTCTAAAACTGTCTCTTTTATGCCACTCTTCCCCTATATATCACTTCTTCTGGAGAAGAGATTTTGTAGATATTTTGTAATATATTATAATTATAAAACAAACAAACGTTCAGTTGGTGTTACTTTTTGATATCACTTCTTTTGTAAACCAGATTTTGTAAAGAAATAATTGTTTGTAGCTTACAATACAGAGAAAAATAATTTTTTGTAGCATTAGATCAAGTTTTAATGTATTATTTGAACGCGTATACTTGACGCCTGTTCTTTTTTTAAAAAAAGTGTTCAAGATATCACACATTTTGTATTTTGTAATATTAGTGGAAAATTTTTTTTCTCGCCGGCATTCATTATATACCACTGCAACGATAAAACAATACACGTTTTTGACACAGTTGTTATTTGGCTGGTAACCGGTAATTATTATATAAATGACTTATGTTACAAAGTTCAAATAATTTGCGTTCATTATTTATACGACTGCACAGTGTAACGAAACTCGCGGCAGTACGGATCCGTCTTTCACTACGTAAATACTACCTTTCAACTTTTAGATACTTAAAAATTACTCAGAAAATTATTTGTATATTGTGAACAGAAAATCACATAATGAGTGTTAGCAGTGTTTATGATTATCTTATGATTGACTTAGCAGGTAAATATTTCTCATTAATTGCGTCAATTTGTTTTTTTTATATACATAATGCTCTCTAAATTTTTAATGTGCATATAAATGCTGATGCCTGTACTTTTGACACGTACTATGTAAAAAATCTCTCTAAGTTATATATTCTCAGAAGGTTTTTTGCGGGGAATTAAAAAAGTTATTAAAAATAGTCAGTGTTCGGTGTCTTAATAAAAAATAAAATATGTAAGTGTGCGTTGATAAGTTTTTAGTCGCTCAAATCAGTCACTGTAACTATTTGCTACAAAAACAGTGAACACTCAGTTTGAAATAATTTTTGACGGTATTTAACTATTGTTGGTGTTATAAAAATCGAGTCACACAATGCTTTTCTAACAAAACTTTTTGTAATACACATTTTTATTAAGAAAGAATCGTGTTTTTTATATTACACAAAATGTGTGATATCTTAAAAAACTTACCTTTTCGAAAAAAAATACGAACAGGCGCCAAGTACACACACAACACGCATTGTATTTAAATAAAAACTCTTAATTTAAATTGTTTTTTATTTATACAATTAAGACTAAAATAAAAGTGACTAGTTAGGCGTTTTTGAAATATTGCTCCGTGAAAATCTTTTCTCTTCTCAAATATCTGAATTTCGCGTATTTAGAGACACAATGTGCTTACACGTTCAAACGTGACTTCGTTGCGCGTGAACTTGGCGCGAGGCACTGCCGTGTCTTTTGATATTTATTAAATTATTATTCGTTTAGTATAAATTTAATGTATATATGTATATCAAAATGTTTAATCTTTACGAGTTAAATGCTCATTGAGACATTCGTACTATACCTTACGGTTTACGAGCTACATGCTGGGTGTTCGTGTAATTATATAAATATAGTTTAAAAAGATCTACTCTGGCCGAGATGTCTTTTTCGGAATGAAGATCTTACTTTTCAAAAGAAGATGAAGTGAATATATCACATATTCGTGATGCAAATATTATTTAAATTTTCGAATTTAATACTTTACTTGGAATGTTGATGTGTATTAAATTATACGATTTCGAGAAATTTTAAAACTTATTTATAATCTCACAAACACCTAATATGTAAATAAAAAGCGTAAGTCTTAGTTTGTTTAATGAGTGTTGCATACAAAAATTTGTTTTAAATTTTGTAATGCAATTTTATTTCTAGATCCGTTCACGCGTAATTGGGCGTTAGTAGAAACGCCATTCCTAGTAATAATTATAACCTTTGGTTACTTGTATTTTGTATTTTACGCCGGACCAAGTTACATGAAGAATCGACAATCATTTAATTTGAGGATCTTTATATTATTTTATAACGTATTTCAAATTCTTGCTAATGCGTGGCTGGTGCACAGTTACGTATCTGCCGGCTGGTTTACTAAATATAGCATAAAATGTAGTAATAATTATGATCTGACAAGTATAAATGGTTTTAAGGTATGTTTTTATGTTAAGTATTATTAAAATTATATTGTTGAACTACAAAACGCGCGTAACACATATTTGTCTGTAAAAACAATGTACTTACTACATTTCTTATTCACACTTTAAACATGTAATAATTAATATTTTTCAAATTTGTGCATTTCAGCTATTAAGTATTTCATGGTGGCTATTCATATTAAAACTAATTGATTATATCGAAACGTGTGTATTTGTTTTACGGAAAAAACAAAATCAAGTGTCTTCTTTGCATGTATATCATCATGTGTCTAATGTCTTATTTGGATGGTATTTCCTCAAATATATAGCGGACCCCAGAGCAACATTTGTGTGCTTAGTTAATTGTTTTATACATGTTATCATGTATACATATTACTTCATTGCAGCATGGAGCACAACTATGCAACAAAAAGTATCCCGTTTTAAACCATATATTACGAAATTACAAATGGTAAGTTCTACATTATATATAAGTTTGTAAAGTATGTGTATATTACGCATGTATCATATAAAACAAAGTTCGTACATTATATTTTACAATTGAACTTCATACACCATAATATTGGTACGAACTGTTCAATTAATTAGACAAATTTAATTAATTTTAACTTCCTATGGTAAATGTATACACAACAATATATTTTGAAAGTATAATCTTTAGATAATATAAAGTATTTGTATAATATATCATTATAAATGCGTGATTATTAATATAGTTTCTATTCTCAACATTATAGACGCAGTTTGTTGCGCTGATATGCTATGGACTACAGGCTTTTCTAGATCCAGAATGCAAAGGATCACAACGAGCAAAAGAACTTGTATTCGTATTTGTTTTGAACATGCTACTATTTCTATACTTATTTTATGACTTTCATAAAAAGACTTATGGCACAAAACAGAAACAGAAAACTGCAAAACACGAAGAATAAAATGTATGTATTATATGTATAATTATAGTCACAGACCAATCACGTGAATCTTTATTATTCGTTATCTCGTTTTGTACTTCGATTTTGTTTTTATTATTAAATTTGTATTTTTATTTCATTCTTAATATTTTCAGTTTCCGTTTGTTATAATTAGTTTTCTTTTGTTTTTTTGTGAGTATCATTGATCTTGTGATATTTTCTATGATATATTTTGTCTTTTTAATAGTTTGTGAAGGTGCTCTAAGAGATATCCAGAGCGTGTAAGAAATATTTTATTCATAGAAGAAAAGCAATGAAGTATATGGAATCCTCTTAGTGCCGATTTCTTTATATCTCCCGATAACTGTCTTTTAAATAAAAATATACAAAAAATATACTTCATTTTTTAGATAAAGATATCGAGAACTTATTTACAAATGGAAAAATTAAGTTTTTGTTGTACGTAATAGAATACAACAAATTAGTTACCTAGCCAAGAATTCTACATTCGTCAAATAAATTTTGTGGTAGACGATATATTGGTTTTTCTTAGAATATCACACGATCTTATTGGTATTCACCCGATTCCGAATTTGAGTTCGACAAATAACAACGGCAAACGACGTCCTCTAAACATTTGTGTATTTCTTCATCCTGTTTAACCGGCAACCGACACGACCTTGACAATCTTTCCGACGTTGATCACATGCACGAAAGCATAAAATCAAACACTTAGGTTTTTGTAGAACTGTTTCCGCCAGCGTTTAGCCACAATGATTTACTTCTCTTGTTACAACACAGATTATCCGACTTAATCAAACGACACGACAATGACAACGGTAAAAAACGGCACGAGAGCAACCTTCCGACGTCCACATGGTACGACGTTCCATAGGAAAGTGCCGCGCCTCAATCAATCGGCGGAAAATCGGTTGTTGTTGTCTTTTCGTGAATACTCCAGAGTATTCTTAATCGATGTAATTTCAGGAGTACCACTCACAGATGCCAGTTCGCGGACTTTTGCAGCATGCAGTAGCAGGTGAAAAAACAAAAAAGAGAATTGTAATATATGATGAAAGAGAGAGAGAGAGAGAGAGAGAGAGAGAGGGAGAGGGAGAGGGAGAGGGAGAGGGAGACGGAGAGGGAGAGGGAGAAAGAGAGAGAGAGAGGGAGAGAAAGGGAGAGAGAGAGAGAGAAAGAGAGAGAGAAAGAGAAAGAGAGAGAGAGAGAGAGAGAGAGAGAAAGAGAGAGAGAGAGAATCAAGAGGCACGGCAGTGATTCGCGTTATTCACGCCGGCAACACCTCCGATAGTACCGATCGCTTCGACAATGTTCCTCGCGGCGTAGTGATTTCGCGCCGGCAACACCTCCGATATAATTTTTTTTAATAAACTGTTTCGAATCTTGGCACGACATAACTACAAACTCTAAACTTTCAATTTATAATAAATTTATGATAAAAAATTAATTTAGAAAACAGATAAAACAATTTTTTTGTGCTGGCAACACCTTTGATATAAGATTTTTTAAATAAATTGTTTCGAACCTTTGGCGCAAAATAACTACAAACTGTAGAGAAAAGTGTGGCAAGACGAGGAGCAAGACAAGATGTAGTAGCCTCTGTATTACATGATTGAAACGCATTAATCACAATCGAGCATATACATTAGATGTGTCGCCATTGTCGCTAACACTGATAAGCAAACCAGCGCGATATGTAGCTGACTGATAAAGTTACACGCAATTGATCATTTTTGACGATTTTCTTATTATTTTTAAACATTCTTTCATCTGTGACAGTGGTTTAAAAATATTTAAGTTCTTTTGTCTATACGTGTGCTTCTAAGAAGTTAGCAAGCTAAAAGACAAGAATAATATTGTATATTTTTGTAAACAGTGTTTAAGAAATTTGGTGATATGATTTTAGCGAGACAAACAGAAGCAAGATGGGGTATTGAGTATTTTTTTATTATCCCATCTTGCCCCACATAGACGTATAAATAGAAATCTAAAGGCCATTACACGTAAAATTACTTAAGACGTAGCCGTAAGGAAATTGACCAATCAGAAATTTACGTCCGAAAATGATGGCGACATAGTATAAATTCTAATTGGTCAAGTTTCTTACGGCTACGTCTTACAGTCATAAGTACTTTTATATGTGATGGCCTTAAGTTCCAGGATGATAAGAAACTACAAACAAAAAACGGACTGGAAAAATTGGTCCAAAGAAACAACGCAAAACGGGGTTACTGCTGTTTTAGAAAATAAGTTGGGTTATTATCAAAATAGGCTCGTTGCTCGTGTGCAAACATAGAAGACGATGATAAAGTTATACATGTGTGCCCCCGTTGTCAACCCAGTAAAAAAAAAATAATGGATTTTATATCATTTGTTAACAAGCATTTTATTTTGCTCACGAAGGTGCCCCGTCTTACTCTACTTGTAGGGCAAGATGGGGAAAAAAAAACTTTTCTGAAATATTAATTTTTTAAAAACAAAATACGTGTATCTAAATGTAAGGTCAGTATCGAGCAGATAAGGTGGAGTTTATAAAAATATTAACAGTTCAAATAATAATCAATTCAAACAGTATTTAATACGAAAACGTTTCGACATTCACAGATGTCATCTTCAGTCGCAGTGTACAAGTTATAATTAAAGTTAAGTTTTTATGATGTAGATAGCTTGTGCAGAAATTAAGTTATTGTCGTCACATTGTAAAATAAAACTGAAAAGTCGAAGTAATAAATACACACACAGAAAGTATTATAAAGTAACTCACAAAATATAAAAGTCGAAAGAAGCTTACATATCAGAAGTATAGAGTCAAATGCTAGACAAACATATTTATTAAAACATAGTAGAGGCAATAGAACAATCCGTTGGATTTAAGATTTAGATAGAGCTATCTTATTTAAGAGATCGAAATAAGCACTATTCAGTAATTCAGTGTCAGTAACTAAATTGAGACCTTGTTGTTGTTGTTTTATGTAAATTGTCTCGGAAATTAATCTCTTGTAAAAATTTGGCTCTTTATACTTTAGAAGATAGAGATATTATCTTAAACATGATAAGTTATGAAAAGCTCGTCTGTGTCGAATCTTCATATTTGTTGTGAAATATAACCTTTATTTCTCATCACACGCTAAAACAATATGGAATCCGGTTTTTCTTCCTTATATTTAAAAAATTTATATGTACTTTATCACTTAATGTATGAATTGTAATACTCGTTAATACTTCATATAACAATATTACATAAATATTACTACGATCTAAAAATATCGTTTTTTTACTTAGCCGTAACTTACAATGTATGACTTATTATATAATTAAAACGCGTTCGTAAAATGTAGACAAAATGTATATCTCTGTTTGTTGAAATAATATCTTGTCAAAAAACGTTCAACACATTTTGTATTTTTCAATCTTCAATCGTCCTTCTACATGTCAAAGTGATAAAAACAACGCAATCATGACAACTTTTACGTGAATATACAGTCGGCGTCAATGAATCGTTTCGTAGCCCCGGGAGCTAGGGGTAAGAGAGACGGTATTCTCTAGGAGTAAATACTGCCAACGGGCGCCGCACTAACTAACTGTAGCAGATTTCGATGAATTGACCAATTACAGTATTTACTGCTAGGGAATACCGTTCCTCTTACCCCTAGCTACCCGCGTCCACGAAACGATTCATTGACGCCGACTATACATGTATGCGTACGTGATAAACATAAAGACATCGCAACCTAGTGATAAACATACCCTTTAACAGTCATATACATTTGTTTTTGACAAGTATATCTGAAAAACAATTAATATTTATTGTGTACATATTGAAATCATGTGTTGCTGTTTTATTTGCGTAAGTACTTCTTGTTTATAACAAAAGAAATTGTATAGATTCACAGTACGCAGATGCTTACGTTCTATGGAACTATGTGCTTAATATTTCTAACCGGAATTGCTACTTCAACTGATGAGAATTTATCTCAAGAATCGCAGTGTATACAACCGATGGAATATTTTATGAATATTTGAGGAAGTAAAAACTAATTCACTCAACGTCATTTCTCGTGTCAAACTCAATATTTTATGTACAAAGCATAAACTACGATTTTATCTCAGATCGTATTGTAATGTTACATACAATTTTATCAGCGATACATTTCTACCTAACATTTCTCGGTATAATTATTCGTATTGATTATATCAGCTATTTTCTACAAAAGAAAGATTCATTGAAATCGTTCTTATGAAACAATATATAAAGGGTTTTCAAATAAAACAACGGGAGAAATATATACAACCTGGAATATATTGGATAACTGCGAGATATGAATGCATTTTAGAGAAAGTCGCAACGATCTACCCATATGTAAATCAAATCAAAGAAGAAAAGTAAGTAAACGCTATTGCAGTAAGTATTGCTTCTGTTTTGTAGAGAAAAGAAGATGTATAAAAATTTCTTACAATTAGTTAAGTAACAATGTACACAGTTTGTCCGGAAAGTTCCCGGACTGATTTTTTCTAGCGCGGGTAAGCGGCGCTATCGAGCGGTCAACGCTGGAACTACTT